ACAGATTCCATGCAATTACCACCAAATTACCAAAGGCATTCTTCACAGAAATATAAGAAACAATCCAAACATTTGTGTGGAACCACAAAAGCCACCAAAGAGCCAAAATAATCCCAAGAAAAAAAAAGAACAAACCTAGAAGTATTAGGCTTCTGAATTTCAAACTATTACAAAGCCATAGTAATAAAAAAAAAAGTATGGTACTGGCACAAAAATAGACTCATCTACTAATGGAACAGAAAGGAGAACATAGAATTTAACTTTGGCATAAATGGTCAACTAATATTTGACAAGGGAGACAGAAATACAAACTACAGGAAAGATAATCTCTTCTACAAATAGTGCTGGGAATACTGGAGAAACATATATAGAACAATGAATTTGGACCTCTATCTCACACTACCAAAAAAATAACTTGACACAGATCAAAGACTTAAACATAAGATGTAATACAATAGCACTTGTAAAAGAAAATGTATGGAAGAAACTCATTGATATTGGTCTTGGCATTAATTTTTTAACACAATATGAAGAGCATAAATGATAAAAGAAAATTTAACAAATGGGATTACATCAAACTCAAAAGCTCTCACACAGAAAAAGAAGCAGTCAAATAAAAAGACAACCTATAGAATGGGAGAAAATTCTGCAAACCGTATATCACATAAGGGGTTAATATTCAAAACCTATAAAGAAGTAAGTCAGCCCAATAACAAAAAAAATCCAATTAAAAGTGGGGAAGAAGAATTAAATAGAGTTTCTCCAAAATGTACATCAAAATGGCCAACAGATACATGAAAAGTTGTTCATCATTAATCACCAAGGAACTGCTAACAAGTGAGATAGCACCTCACACCTGTTAGAGTGGCAACCACCAAGAAGACAAGAGACAATGGGTCCTGGCAAGGATGCAGTAAAAAGAGAATATTTGTACATTGCTGATGGGAAAGTAAATTGGTCTAACCACTGTAAAAAACAATACAGAGGTTTGTCAAAAAAAATTAAAAATAGATTTACAATATGATTCAATTCCACCTCTGGATATATACCTCAGGAAATGAAAATGAGATTTCATAAGACATTTGCTCTCCCGTGTTTATCACAGCATTATTCACAGAAAGATGCCTTTTATTAAAAAAATGTCAGTTATATCTTTAACAAGGCTGCATAATGGTTTTGTTACACTCTTTGATAGCGTTATATACATAAACCATGACATCTACTCTATGGCTGATTCTGTACATTGCTATGCTCTGCTCTCCATAAGAGGACCCCAGGCTGCTGAAGACTTTAAGCTAAAAGCAGATGACACTTGTATAACTTTCCCTGTGTAAGATCATTCACAAACTAATTTTGGAAAAATGTCAACAGATGCTTCTGGTATTTGTTTTAAAATTCAAAAAATAAAACAAATTATAGCCCAGATTGCTTCTACCATGGTGACTGAAATTATGAGATTTATTCTCTGGAAAAGATGAGCCTCTGGAAACACCCAGAAATGTTGAGCAAACAAGGAGAATAAGAGAAAGTAGGCTTATTCCTCCAGTTTCCTTTTACGTTTGACTCATTTTACCCTTCAAGGTTCTTGTCTGAGGAATCTGAATCATCCACCAGTAAAAACTGAAAGGCACTGACAGTCCTGAATCCCCCCAATAAAATGCCCTGGACGATGAGACCTATCAGTCCCCCAATCCTACTCAGGTGCACAGACCTTCTAGTCAGGATTTGTTTTGGGGATTTTTGTGGGTGTTCCAGTGTCTGCACTTTAAATATGAACTGACAGCTAAAGGTCACCAGATATTTAAGGAAATCCTCAGGGATAAAGGATATAGACTGAAATAAACCAAAAGATAAGAGGTTGTTGGCAAAAGTAGAGACAAGGTAGAGAGAAGAAATTTTCAAAAAATTATCACTAATATCCTAAGAGATACAAGATAATAAATAATCAATAATCCAAAAATAGTATGCTACAAAGAGAGGCATTTTCAGACAACAGAGATTTAGAAGATAAATCTCTCAAAAAGCAGATGAAAAATAATAAAAGGAAAATGGGACAGAAAAGATTAGAAAATTAATAACTCAATCCAAGAGGGCCAATCTTTAAAAAGTTAGAGTTTCAAAGACAAGAGAATGAACAGACAAACAAATACAATAGGAGGGAATGGGCAAAAAGAACAGCAATAAAAAAGGAAAGAGAAGGGGATTTAGAACTTTTTTTCCTTTAATTTCCAAGTACCTAGAACTGCAAAACAATGAGTTTTCAGACTGGAAATGCCTACAAATTTCCTAACAAAATGATTAGATAAGACCAGTCCCAGTACAAGTCATCACCAGGTTAGAGACTACTGAAGACTCCCAGTAAAAAATTGTGTCTAACCTAGAATGCTACATAAACAAGCATAAGGGTATTTCCAGATGTGAGGACTTTAAAAATTTACCTTCTAAATACTCTATTTTTTAAAAGGTTTATTTATTTATTCTAGAGAGACAGAGAGCATGCATGCAGGCATGCAGGAGCATGGAAAGGGCAGAGGGAGAGGGAGAAAATCTCTAGCAGACTCCCTCTAAGCACGGAGCCTGCTGTGGGGCTTGAGCCCAAGTCCCTAAGATCATGACCTGAGCCAAAATCAAGAGTTTGACAATTAACTGACTAAGTCACCCAGGAATTCTCTTCCTAAGTACTCTTTAGCAGACAGTTACTGAAAGCAGTGCAGTGATAAAATGAAAAGTTAACTGAGGACACTACTTTAGGATCTAGGAATTAGGGGATCAGAAAACAGAAAAGAATTGAAGGGAATTTCCAGGACAATGGTGAAAAAAAAAAAAAAAACCAAAACAACAACAACAAAAAAAACACCCAACTCCAGGACAGTCAGAGAGCAAGAAGTTGAGACTGAAATCTCTGGGCAGAATGTGCCTAAGAACATGGGTTCAACACATACAGACTATCTTTTCAATATTGAAGATGAGCTCTCTTTTTGACAAAGGGGTGAGTACAAACACCAATAGGCATATAGAATACTAAGCAAGCAAGCAAACAAATAAAAACAATGGTTAATTCCAATTTGGTGAGATTTTTACATGGAGGGGAATAATAGTGCTTACTAAATTATGGGGACTTACACTAATCCAGTCAAAATTCATAATACAATATTAGTGAGATGTTGGAGAAAGAAAATGCCTACACCAGATAGAAAGGAATGAATGGAGAGAGAGAGTGGTTCATGAGTCAAGACAAATCCTCCTTTCCACCATGGAAAATCAGTAGACACTTTTTAGTGAGCATCTACTAGGTATGCAGTAAGTTACTCATTCTATTTAGAGAAATGGAGGTGATTCTAAAAATACTGAATGTAGTTGGTCTGGGAAAGGAGAAACGAGGAAGGAAGCTATAAGGGTACTTTTCTCTAAAATTTCTAAAACTATTGGAATTTTTCATTTCTGTGCTATATAACTTTAAAATAAATATCAAATCAAATAAAAATCAATAGTGCTCTTGCTTTCAGCCTGTGTATAAATGCATAGAACAATCTGGTTTTAATCTTGAAAAACAAAAGCTATTACTAGTGGCTTTGGTTTGTTCTTTTCTGTTTTTTTTAATTTTATTTTTTTTAGGGGGGGGGATAGTATATGCAAGTAAGCGAGCAGGGGTGGAAGGGTGGGGGCAGAGGGAGAGGGAGAGAGAATCTGAAGCAGGCTCCATGCTCAGTGCAAAGCCTGTGAGGGGCTCAACCTCATGACTCTGAAACAAAACCAAGAACTGGATGCTCAACTGAATGGGCCACCTGGCCTGTTCTCTTTGTGCTGGGAAGAGGGGTGAAGATTTTTTGGAAGACCAATCACTTTAGATTTTTCACAAGAAAACAGCCATACAGATAGATTGGTTAAGTACCTTCTGTTGAAAGTTTTCAAAGCGTATCATTTTCGAAATTTCACTGTCTCTTTCAAATTCCAAAGTCAGACTGAGTGTATGCTGACAACTTGAGACACATTAGCACTTCCAATTCACATGTCAAAGCTATTCTAGACTAAGGCAAAAGTAGAGTCTGTCTCCCGTCTAAAAGAGATCATTGTTACCTTCTAAATGGTAAATAAAAAAGAGAGAGAGACACACACACAAAGAAAGAGAAAAGAAAAAGAAAAAAGAAACAAACAAGGGAAATTAGCAACATAATATTTTAAATTTATCTAATTCAACCCACCCCCCCCCACCGTCACCTTCATACTAATTAAGAAAGCTTATTTAGCCTACCATAAATACGATTCAACTTTTCCTAAGGGTCAATTAAGTTTAACATTTCTTTTGAATATTTAGGTGGTTTAATTATTCTTTTTATTATGGTGTACTGTTATTTTTTACCTATAAAAAGGGAGGGGGGATGTTTAGTTATACTTGATTCTATTTTGTATCTTCTCCAAACCCTGCGGTGCTCTAAAGACTTCCTGTTTGTCACATGTTCCAATCTCCCTAAGGAAAACCAGGAGAGACCCTTACATGTGCTTAAATTACAGCTATAGCTGGATTGTGTTTAGGATTTCAGACGATATACAAGAATACAGAAGACTGTTTAAAGTAGACTAACAGATTTTTTAACCCAGGAAGATACTTAGAAACAGTTTAAACTAATCTATTCATTTTTTTTTTAAATCAGGAATCTTAAGTAACAGAGAAGCTAGCAGGTATTTTGCCAAAGACACTGGCCAAATTTCATACTCTGAGCACCTGGGCTGGATCAAGGTCTTCACACATTCTAAGGTCTTCAATGACACTTGAAGAAAATCTTTCTAAATGAGACAAAGGCCAAGTGAACATGGTAAATTGCTAAGTTGTGGTTGGAGCAATGAACTTTTTCATCCAAGCTTGAGAATTCTAAGATCTAAGAACCTCAGGACTTCTTGGATGCATGCTTTCTCAGATATTTGGTGAGTACCTGTGGTGACTACTATTGCTTTGCAAATATGCTGCATTCTTTTTAATTCTAAAGAAAAATGGATCATACCTGTTGTTCCAGAGGTAAAAATATAAAGATGAGGAGACTTGAGACTTGAAGCAACATGGTGGCTGCGTGGCACAGGCTTGTCAGATGCCATGCTCAGTTTTTCTGTGAGTGAAGTTACACCTTGTGGAACAGAATCGTTCATTCCCCAGACAGTGATACCTTCTGGGAGGCTCGGAAGGATTTCTTCTACAGTTCCAAGCAGATCTAAAAACCAAAGGTTTAAAAAGAGATTAATAAGATATAACCCTCAAACCATTAACCTGTGTTTTCTTTTCTCTGTTGGGACAGGGATAAATGTCAATACAATGCTGACTTCCTCTTTATTGGAATAATTAATATCATAGCCATTTTAGGTTTCTGATATAACAGGACCAACTGAAAGAGAAATCTGGTTATGATCACCTGATTCAATAAATGGAAATAGGCTGGTTCAAATTGAATTTTGGAGACATCATTATTCAGATTATGGTTTTTTCCCAACTTTTAAATAAAACTCTGTTTTTATATTCTGCTTTAAATCGACACTCAGGATACCACAATAAACATTTTCATTGATATCTCGGTAGCTCATCATTCCAAAAAGCCATCTGCCTGTCACGGTTTAATTCTACTCTAATGCAATACATTCGGGAGACTCCCCTGACCCCACTAGAGGTATGTGATCATTATGGTTTAGAGACCATTTCAGAGCCAAAAGCTAAGTGAGGAAATCTAGAGATGCCTTTTCCTCTGCATCAGGATAACTAACAGTGCAAGTCTTTGAAAGGAAAAGGAGGAAATAAATGCCTTCCACAAAAGGCAATAAATGTCCCCACCCAGTGCCCAGCAAGGGGCAGCAATGACAGATTGATGAGACCTGTCTCCATCGGCAGCAGTGGGATGTCCTCCCTGAACCAGTGTCAAGCAAAAAGGTAGGCAGAGAAGTAGAAAAGCCTGGAACGCCAGTGTCTTCAGGCCTGAAGAACTTGAAAGTCTCCCATGACCAAAGATCTGGGCTATAATTCAGGTCTGAGAAAGAAAAAAGGATACATCTCCCAGGAAGCATCTACTGTACAGATAACAAAAGAACACCTGGAGAGGAGAGGCCATGTTGTATTAATTCAGGAGTCTGAACCAAATCTGCTTAATTTGGCCATTCATGTCAAAGAAAACATCATTTGCTCAGGAGGAATTGGGGTAGAGAAGAAGCGAGACAGAAGTGGGGGTATGAGTCCCTGAGGAGGAAATATTTATGAAGGTATCCAGCCCTCTGTAGGATATAAAAGAAGCATTGCATCCTCATTCCCAGAGAATCTTGTATAAGCCAGTGAGGCCTCATATTTTTCTCTGGAGTAGAGACACAGTTATTTATAGTTTTTAAATAACACTTCCCCACTTTAATATGGATCTCTCACACTGAAGTTTCACTTTTATATTCCACAAAGGTGCTCCAATTTTAGTTTGGTGTTCCTATAAAATGTCATACTTGTTGTCTAAGATATAAGGGATTTTTGAGTGCCACGTTATTTTTCTTGAAATCTACATTAACGTCGTCAGAGATATTAAACAGTAATATCCCACTGGCCTTTGGAGTTAATGCAAGGAATGCCAAAGATTACTGACAACTGCCAGAGGCTAGGAAGAGGCAAGAGATTTTTTTCTTAGATCCTTTAGAGGGAGCATGGCCCAGCAGACAGTTTTATTTTGGACTGCTAGCCCCCAGAACTGTAAGGGAATAAATTCCTGTTGCTTTAAGCAACTCAGTTTGTGACATTTACTACAGCAGCCCTGGAAAACTAGTACACCAAGTAACAAGTTGCTGGACAGAATTGTTATTCTAACCTGTGTCCAATTATCTCTAAAATCTATATATTACCTCATAAAAGAAATCAATTCTAAAAAATAATGTCATTAAATGTAAAATATATCCTGTTTAGAATGCTCAAGTACATGTAAATATGAACCCTTCCATCCAATTATATTTTTTTTCTAAATTTTTAACAAAACTTTAAAAATAATTACAAGATATATTCTGCTTTGAAGCTGAACTCAGGGTACTGCATTAGACATTTTTTTTGAAATAAAATCAGTATTTGGTAACCATAAAAAGCCATCTGTCAGCTACTATTTAGTTCTACCAAAATACAAGACACTTGAGAAAAACTCATGATTTAGTTCCTCAAAATCTGTAACCCAGATTGATCACAAAGAGACAGCAAGAGAAACATGTCAACCAGGACTAGGTAGTTCACAAATAAAACCTGCAATAAAAGTAAGGAAACACAGAAAATGGTAAGGAGTTCATATGTAGGGGGTAGGGAGGCAGACTGGGGCTTGAACTTTTTTGAATTAATTTTTATTTCTGTAACAAATCCGAATAAAATAAACTGTAAGAGTCCATAGTTCCACTGAGCGTACACAGCATGCTGCTATATCCAGATTGCTTTGGTAAGAAATGAAAAATCACAAGGAATGCTGGAGGAAGAACAAGCCATAAGTAAATGAAAAAATAGGACAGGTGATCGAGACTTTCTTTTTTTTTTAATTTATTTATTCATGAGAGACACAGAGAGAGAGAGAGGCAAAGACACTGGCAGAGGGAGAAGCAGGCCCCATGCAGGGAGCCCGACGTGGGACTCGATCCCGGGTCTCCAGGATCACGCCCTGGGCCGAAGGCGGCGCCAAACCGCTGAGCCACCTGGGCTGCCCGATCAAGACTTTCTATTTTCTTTTAACTTTGTTTTTTTTTTGGGAGAAAGAGCAAGCTTGGGAGGGGAAAGGTCAGAAGGAGAGGGAGAGAGAGAATATTTAGAGGACTCCATGCCAAGCTCAGAGCCCGACATGGGGCCCAGGCTCAGAACTCTGAGATCAGGACCTGAGCTGACATCAAGTGTCAGATGCTTAATTCACTAAGCCACCCAGACACCCCTAATTTTGTTTTTTTTTTAAGATTTTATTTATTTATTCATGAGAGACACAGAGAGAGAGAGAGGCAGAGAGACATAGGCAGAGGGAGAAGCAGGCTCCATGCAGGAAGCCTGAGGTGGGACTCGATCCCAGATCTCCTGGATCATGTCTTGGGCTGAAGGCGGTGCTAAACCACTGAGCCACCCGGGCTGTCCTAATTTTGTTTTAATAACTTTTTTTGGCTTTTTGAATGTTTAAGTACAAGTCTCTGAACTGACCCATTATCTTAATTTCAAATCTCTCATCTGGAATTGTAAATTAACAGCATAAACTTTTACATGTTCATAATGATATGTATGTCTAAGTAGGCAAAATAAGTATGAAGAAAGTTACAATATGATTAATCGCAGCCCCAAATAATTTTTGGAATTGTAGAGTCTAAAGAAATACTCAATGTTTGCAAAGGGTGATGATTTCTTTTTACAAGAAAAAGGAAGTGAGCAGATTCCTAAGAATTAGAGGAAATACAATTTAAATCCCTTCATTGGTTAAAATTAAATTGACTCGACTTAGTTGAGACATTCAGAATTCTATAGAATTTTATCAAATTATTTCTTCAATAGTAGTAGGTAATTTGGTTGAGGATAATGAACACTGAAATAAAAATCTGAAAAGTCTTGTAGAGGATAAAAATTAATTATTTATTTATCACTATCAATCTTCCTTAACAAATTGAAAAGTTTCAGGGTCATTTTGAAAGTAAATTCTGAATATTAAATCCCGACACAAAATAGCATTTGTTTAAATACCTCAAGGACACTTGGCTGTGTTTCATGAAAGTTTACTCTTAGGGAAGCATACTACCATTGAAACCTATAAAACTGTAAGCACCTCAAATGAATGATATGTATCCTAATCCATACTTGTGCTGGCTGCAACTGGCACACACATTGCAGGTGTTCCATCTGGTTATGGAACTGAGCTCTTCCCAGGCATCCCCTGTTGATGTAGGTCTCGACAGAAAACAATTATAAGAAAATGAGACATTTGAATATCCTATACCCTTGAACAAACTCTACCTTACAGGATAAGGCTGTAATGTAGAAGGCTTTCACAGCAATAGGGTCCTTTGGAGAAACCACGTATTATTTCTCAAGTATGCAAAGCACTTCATTAGGTGATGCTGCAAGCATTAAAACAGGTAAATTAAAGGGTTGCATGGGTAGCTCAGTCGGTTAAGCATCTAACTTCCACTCTGGCTCAGATCTCAGGGTCCTCAGATGGAGCCCTGCCTCCAGCTCTCTGCTCTGCCAGGAGCCTGCTTCTCCTTCTCCCTCTGCCCCTTCCCCAGCTTGTGCTCTTTTTCTCTCTCCCAAATAAGTAAATAAAATATTTTAAAAAACAGGTAAATTATGATCTCTGCTTATGATCCTTCAGCAATTTTTCTACCAATTAATTTGTTTCTACATCATCATGTCTCTTATTCACATTACCAATACAATAAATACAACGAGTAAAATTTAATATATCCCTCTACTATGTCATTAGTATCAATTATGTTATTTATCCTGCAATAGAAACTCTTAAAGTTGTCTGATTCTACATAAAACAAGCTAATGCTTTCAAAAGAATAGCTTGCAGCACTTACTACATTGGCAAACATTGAAACTTTTAGGCATGAAGAAAACATAAATGAAATTCAAGTACAAATGGTCACCTTGAGCTTTCCACATCCCAAAGCAATAAACACACAGAAACTAAGGTGAAATTACAGATCTCACCTCATGCTTATAACTACCATCCTACTACTTAGAGCAGCTCAACAGGTTTTTCACAGAAAGCATGGGCAGACTCTGGTTCCTTTTCTTTTCTTTTCTTTTCTTTTCTTTTCTTTTCTTTTCTTTCTTTCTTTTTTTTTTTTTAGATTTTATTTATTTATTTGAGAGACAGAGAGAGAACCAGAGAGAGTGGGAGCAGGGGGTAGGGACAGAGGGAGAAGCAGGCTCCCTGCTGAGCAGAGCCCCACATGGGGCTTGATCCCAGGATGGCGGGATCATGACCTGAGCTGAAGGCAGATGCCCAACCAACTGAGCCACCCAGGTGCCCCCAGACTCTGCTTTCTAACAAACCTGATTCTTAAGTAAGCAATGTCCTATGGCAATTCATATCAGGCTAGAAACTCATATCACCATGAATAATGTACCAGCTATTCTAACAAATATTAGTTTACTAATAATCATAACCCTAGGAAGTGCAAAGGACAGGTCTTTCAATTGTGATAACATATTCTCCCCTGAAAGGATTTTATTAGCTGCCCT